AAAGAGGATGAAAAGGGAACGCAGTAAAGTTATCGATGACAAGTGTATGATTGTACAGTACAGGTGGTACCTTGCAATTTCATGTCCCTCAATTCACACATTCTGAAATTTGATGGTCAAATTTGCTGGAAGGTTGACTCATAAGTTGATCTCTGTCCTGCAATTCAACCTGCAGAAAGACAAGAAATGTAAAATTTGACAAAAAAGTCTTTGGATTTGATCATGTCTTGCAATTGAACTGCTTCTGAATTAGACCCATGTCTGGCAATGGATTAGAGTCCAATTGTGGAGTACCACCAGTACTGCATTTGATCAAGTACTATGCACACCTTTCCCCCTAGAAATTTGGACCACTAATTGCGTTGCATGTCCAATTTGTGTATGCATTTTTGGGTAGAAATTAGCAGGCACGTCATCCTTTGATTTCAACAGTCCTAATTCCCAGTATTTCAGTTTGTAAAAATTTCAAATCCATGCCATTGTGAGGGATACAGATTTGGCGTAATACAGCATTCAATTAAATGGAGTAAGTTTAAATGAAATGCTTGATATTTCCTGTTGCTTATGATAATGCACCACATTCCTACACCAATACAGTAAATGCACTCAAATATGCATATACTGTACAGTATTAGCAGTAAAATGACAGATACACATATTCAAAGCAGACAAATATGGATCAAGTTAATGTAATTAATTATGAGCCACATTAAAAAAAAGTCAGCTGAATTCATTCCTTAACTTTAAGGAGTCACTGAGAACAATAGTTTGAATATTTTACAAAGGGCATGGGGTTATATTAAAGTTTTGAGTTTAAAAACCAAGGTGAATTATATGCTTGCATTCATAATTAATATTTTAATTTTATTCATATTGTATTATTTTGAATGCGCAGTGCAAGCTTTGGTCAGAAAAGGCATGCTGCACAGAAGAAACCACAAGGCTGATCCACAGTGACCCAGAGTTGATGGTGTATGGATTCAACTTCAGTCACTGCAAGCCTCTGTCCCCACAGTGTATCAGACACTTCAGACAAGAGTTTTGCTTCTTTGCCTGCTCTCCCAATGTTGGACCATGGATTGATTATGCAAGTGGCAGACATTTATAAAAATTGATTTATGAATCAACTATACTGACTCCTATCAGGCATCTTATCCACTTGGGAGACACAGGTTCCATGGAGTACCACTCTGTGCTGGTGACTGCAAGGCTTGGTTCCATGCATGTGGGGAAGACTTGACATGTGCCAAGGATTGGTTCAAAGACTTCGACTGGGACTCTGGAAAGAATGTTTGTCCAGCTAACTCGGATTGCATCACCTTCAAAGAGATGTTTGGCAATGCTAAAACATTTTGTGAATCTGTGAGTCGTCCTTCCAACAACAAATATCTACTCAATGATACTTAATTCTGAAATGGAATCCTACATCCATTTCATCTAATGCCTACTCAAGAGTTCTCAAACAAACTTCAAACACACAATGAGAGAAACAGTCTTGACATGCGCATTTTTAAAAAAATCCTTCAATGAATGAATGAACAGAAAACTTTATTTGCCGCTTTTCAGCATTCACAAGGCACAACCAAGACTTCCACATCCAAACCCCCTCCCCACCCAACCCAACTCCCCCCAAAGAGATTCAATCAATTCAAACCATGAAATAAAGCACAAACCAATTGCAAAAAAAAGAGAACACACTCTACAAAATAAAACTGGAAATCCTACAGGTATGCTGCATAATACACCCACCCATCCCCAATATTGAAGACAAAGCAGCAGTAAAAGTTTATTTAAAGCACAAGGTCTTCAGCCTGTTTCTGTATGAGTTTTAGTTCAATGAACAATTTAGAGAGAATTTTTGCTTCAAGCATGAAAGCCTGCCTCAAACATTCAAGCTGGCATTCACCACAAGATTAAAATGCCAGCTAATACTTGCCCTTTCTGTATACTTTTTTTCTGTGAACTCATGTTCCTCATTTAGCTCTGAAACTCCAAATATCATGAATATACAGTCAAACCATCTCTAAATCAAATTTCAAGGGACAAGAAAAAAATTTGACTTTGGGATGCTTAAAGTTGGGGAGGTTTGGAGTTACTGAGATTTTGAGTTAGGAAGCTCAAATTTTTGTTGTGGGAGGAATTGCTAGAAATTGTAACTGGTAATACTTTGGGCATTAAATTGCCATTGAAATCAGTTGACAGGATGCTGCGCTTGGATGAATCAAGGGTGCATTTGCCCAATTAATTGTTTACTTCCATTCAAAGCACATCAAATCCCATTTTTATGGATTTTATTTTTATTGTGTCAAGAAAACCATAGCCAAAAAGCCTCAGAAAATTTGAGTCAGAGAGGTTTGATAAGAAAACTTGTTGAGTTAGAGAGGTTTTTAATGCATTGTTTCTAAGGGAAATCAGATGGGGACTTTAAAAAATCTAACTTAGGGAAGTGTTTGACTATAAAAAAGGTTTGAATTATTTATAGGTTCAAGTGTAAATACTAATCATGATAAGATCCTTCAACTATGTTCTTATAGGTTTCTTCAATTTTTCAGTTTCAACCCAAGAAACTTGTCATATGCCATGTAAGATCCCTGCTTGAAGCATGCCAAAACTATTTTCTTCAATCAATACATGTTTTCAATCTCTGGATATATGTTTGATTCTCAATTCCAAATTGATAATTACTGCAAAATACTTCAATGGCCCACCTTACCCCAGTCCAAACAAGCATAAAATTAAAATTCATAATAACATGAAGAATGATAATTGACATGAAGAACTGTTTGGGAAAAGTAAACATAAATTCAAGGTCAGGAAAGGTTTCAGTATTCTAATATTCAGCCACTGTTTCCCAGGTTTGGAGTGGTGAGTGGGTGTATGAAGAAGACTCTTCCAAATGTCTCAAACTCTGGTTTGATGCTGGAGACAACCCAAATGCCAAAGTGGCCAGTTATTTTGCACAAAAGGCGGCTGGAACCAAATCCGGTGATCAATCAACCCACCACACCCTGGACAATTCCTCCACCTTTTCTGCCCCACCTTCAAATTCCGCCAAGTTTATTCCCCTGTTACCGTATTGTGGTTGGACACTAGCAGGGATGTTTGTCCTTCACAGCATGCAACGCAATATCCCATTGTATTAAAAAAATGAATACACATCGCTCNAATTGCACACTTATTTGAATGGATTATGAAATTTTCATCAAGTATGTCCAGATACAGTGATTCCATATTCTTCAGCCACTCCAATAAGGACTAGCTCATGCTGTAATCAATTACTGTTACCTCACACTTCAGAAAAAAAAAAAGTTTAGAGATGACTGGATCAAGGTCCAACAGTTATTATCTCGCATTTGTAAAACTGCCCTTGTGGTATATAAGATGGTGATTCTAAAGCCGGAACAAACAGTAGGGGACATGGAGTGGGGAGAGAAGAGAAGTGTACAGTATAGGAGAAGAAGGCCAAGACCTCTGGAGTCTTCCCTTATCCGTGATCCCAGACAAGACCGACTATGGGAAACTCCGCCGGTTCAAAACGAAGTGCTTGTAAATGAGAAGAAACGAGCCCAACTCAGTGCCCCTCACCCCTCCTCCATGCTTCGTTTCCCTTCGTAGGACAGGAAGCTAAAGTTGGGAGTTCCAGACACTATACAGTATACAGTTGAACCTGTAGACTATAACTGGAACCTTCAATGAGGCAGTGGAATACCTCTTGAGTTGATTCTTTTTTTCAAGACCCTGTCTGAATTACTTTAAAAAATATATTACAACTTAACAACTGAACTCTTTCTACAACCATGGTGCCAAAATAATTCCTCTGTACATCATGTGTTTGTTGTTCCCATATTGTTCCTTCCCCATGTTATAGGGGTTCTATATAAAAAATTCTTGCTACAAGAAAATTTTCTCTGGTTGTAAAGAGAGTCCACCATGTAAACCTCTTTAGCTTGAAGGCTTTTCCTCTGCAACCTAGTCATACATAACTCACATTTTTGGAGGATAAATATTTTCATGATAAAGTAGAGATAAAAAATTAAAAATTAACGATGAGTTTGGAAAGGAAATAAAATACTAATTTGGTAAATGAACCCTTGCCTACAAGTTCAGCATCCTCTAAACTAATTTAAGAAGCTATCAAAGGCCAAGAATATCACCATTCACAATTTATTGCTGAATAATTTTGAGTCATGGAGGTTCACAGTTGAAGCATTTCAATGTAAGGGATTTTGAGTTACATTGTTTTGAGGGGACTTTAGGCAGGGAGTTGAGCAAGATTAAGAGTTAGGAAGGTTTTGACTTGAAGTGGTTTTAACTTGAGAAAGTTCCAGGTGAAGAGATCTAACTTGTATTCTTATCATCTTATTTATTGTCTCAAATATGTCTCAGTGATTTCATTCAAGAACAGTTCTAAATAGTAATTTAATCTTCATTAGAATATACTGTAATTACAAGATGTTATTCAGAGGTAAAATTTATTATAATGAGAAGGTATACTAAAGAAATTCATGGTTATGCATCAGTAGTACTGGAAGTGAATGTAGGTCAACTTAAAATAAATTAAACCTTCAATTCCTAGAAAAATAATCAATATTGTGTCTCAACAAGGGTGCTATACAGTTGAACCTCTCTAAGTCAAATTACAAGGGAACTGAAAAAAATTTGACTTATAGAGAGGTTTCAACTTAAAGAGGTTTTGACTTTCATACATATTGGAAGAACAATAAAATGCCCCATTTTCTGGGAAACTTATAAGTGTCAAATCATTTTGATGGAATAGATTTTTTGAATACATCATACCAAGAACCACAATAAAATTATCCTTTATTTCAATGTTTTGGCAATAAGTTACACGATGGCGAGGGTTCATAGGGATATGGTTTGCCCAAAAAATCACTTTCATCGCGATGATTTAATTTTGCATATCACCATGAACCCGTGAAGTAATTGAACTATAAACAAGCCCCCGTACTTTTTCTCATTGCCATGCTGAATGAAGAGGGCCTTTGTATTAATTTCCCTAGACTTTTCCCACGGTCATCGTCCTTTTCTTGTTTGCGAAAAAAAAAACCGGTCCACTGTTTTCGCATGCAGAGATGCACAATTGCAAGTCTTTGAGGGACAACGTGATCTAACGACAACTTTCCTCGTTGGGATTTTTTTTTTTGTCAGCGTAAGAGGAAAGTTATGCTATGTTTAAATTTTTGTGAAATTATGAAAAGCAAAACTATGCGCGTCCTCCATCTTGATAAAATAATATAGCATGAAACCCCTGAAATGTTGCTCCTGAATCTGGTTGAATTTCGTAGATTCATACCTCACCTGAAATCACGAGCTTTTTCTTGAAAAATAAAGTAGTTCCTGATGTTATAATATAAAGTAAAACCTTTTGCGTTATAATGTGACTCAAGGATTGTTCCATTTCTAGAAAATCTTGATGAATTGGGGAAATCTTGTTCTGACAAAATCTTTCTAAAAGTGCCACTCATTTTATTTTAAGACTTAATGTGAAGCCGGAATAAATGTAGGTCCTTGTTCAATACCCAAAACTGTATTCAAATGTCTCCATGATAAATTATTGTCATAAAAACATCTGTATCCCTGGTCTCATCAATTTAGTCACTTTCACAAGATTTTACTTTTATGCAGAGGTACTGTATATTTAGTGTATTTACTCAAGTACCAATTAGTACCTTGCACACATTTTTGCTCAAATTTGAGAAGGAAGATTGTGTGCAAATGATAACCACAGATATAATTTTTCAAAACGTTTTATAAATTTAGGTGTGCATTATATCTATAACAAGTGGGACATTGTGGACCAACTTCAATAGAAGAACTCTAATTTTAATTGAAACAATTATCCCCCAACCTATGGTCTGCAGACTGCTGACAGTTCAAAAAAATGTTTGTCAATCTACAGGAAATTTTCTTCAGCATGTAAAGTTATCAAAAGTAGCAATGAAATCTGACATCTTTAATTGAAATTTCAGAATGACAATGGCAGTTGAAATCAAGTGATCAAAAAACTTGGCTTCCTCCTTATGACAGTTCAGACAAATTTTCACATTTTGAAAAAAAATGTTTAATTTTTATTTGGAGAAACATTTTTTCAAGCTAAACTTATCAACTTTTGCAAGATATTCTGTTATAACTGCTGCATTGGTTCTTGACTCAATTGATGCAAGAAAGCATACATTTTTCAATTAATGTCCTTCAGGCAAAACTTACTTGAGTCTGTGAAATATGAAACATGGCCAGTTTACAGAACTTTTTTGTTGTTGAAAATTTGCCAATCCATGGGTCTAAGAAGGTTTGGTTACATTGAACTAGATTTGACTCATTTGTTGCTGTACTACATTGTTTTCCATGTTCCCACAAATTCTTGAAATGAAATATTTTCTCTTGAATGAATGAATGAACAGAATACTTTATTTGCCGCTTTTCAGCATCCACAAGGTTCAATCAAGATTTCTAGAAATGGAACAATCCTTGAGTCACATTATAACGCAAAAGGTTTTACTTTATATTATAACATCAGGAAC